AGACAAAATTCCCCAAAAGTGGGAGCGCAGAGCGAAAAATGTCGAATGTTGATGTAAGTGACAAGTAAAGTGCTATGCAGTAGTCCAAACTGGCTTTTATCATTGCATTGCTGCTGATCGTCAGGATAAAACCTACCCATTAGCGTTTTTACAAGAAATCGAAATGTTTCGGTTGCATTATTGTGCGACTACCACTACTTCAACCATGCTTAAGCAGACGCTCGCAACAAACTTCTTCAGTGTTCAACTTATTTTCTCGCATGTGGTAAGCCAAAACATCAAAGCAATGTTCCTTGCAAGTTGTCATGAAAGTTCCAATCTAAAATGATGCTTTCCTTTCAAATAATTTTCTACTTTCGATCTACAATTCACTGGAGGTTTTATTCTCAAAATTCTGATGCCGTTTTGAGGCCCAGCGCCCTCCCTTATTTCCCGGTAATTCTACATTAAATTTGTTGCTTACAGTTAAAGTAATAATGACACAAGTGTCTCGCGTAAATCATTAGAGACGTGGCTCAAAGGTGGAGTTGTTGTAACCCCCTCTGCCATTCATAAGAGCCTAGTCTCATTTTATCATTCTTATGTCTCATGAAGGCACATTTGTGAAGCACAGCTCTAGGTCTTCCTACGTACACAAGTAGTTTGCGCAACACCATCCTCCTTCAGCAGCGAATCCTCTCGGTCCAGTGTGGAATGTACCCAATTTGCACAAATGTAATCAATGGCCTTGTTGTAGGCCTTTAAGTTGACAAAGGTTTTGTCCGCCAGAACATTTGTTTATGCTTCTCTGTTGACAATAAATTATTAATTTTGTTTATTATCTTGGCAAAGCAAAAAGGATTCATCGACATAAGAAATAGATGTAGATTACACGCCCCTAACTGACGATTTCATTAAACCAATTTTCGTTTCCACGTGCTCCCGTCCCCATCAGCCAAATAAGCACTCCCTAACACAAACACTCATCCATAAAAGCAACTTTAAACTTCGCCCATACGAGTGCCCATACAGGAAGTTGCCACGGAAGAGGACGTGGATGCTGCGACGCCCTCGCAGCAATAAAAGCAGTCACTAGAGAGGAGGCATATCGACACCCACCCCCCCTCCTTCTTAGGCACATTGCAAATGACGACAACAAGCGCAAAGAAGTCCCACGACATGCAATAAACACTTCCTAAATTCACTTTATTTACAAGATTACGACGGTGCCAGAGCCAGGCTATGGAGCCTTGCGGCCAAGATGATTGGTGTGTGCGCCACCGCAGTGCCTGATCATAACGCACGACGTCACGCCAGATGAGGCGGCGGACCTCGATCGCCGAGTGGTATCTCCAGCACCTACACCTCACGCAACTACTAACATTGAATACGGCGTATCAGCTAGGGACCTCACCTGTTCAATACAATTGCAATTAGCTTTGAGCGTGGACCGTAATCTCACTAGGAAAGGTGCTAAGCATCCATTTTTCAATGCAACGAGACAGGTACGCTTTCGTTCACTCCAGGCTCAATATCGCATCTGGCCTTAACATTAAAAATAATACTTTTACCCATTCCCCTAAGTCCACCATATTACACTCAAAAAAGTACGATAACTTCAAGCATCCATCCAGACAATGGGAAACAGAGGCGCAAAGAGACCGTAAACTTTGACACGATCACGAACAAATGGGCAGGAAGAGGAATCAGAAATAATTAGTATTCATCGCGAAACGGATATTCCGGATGCTTTGAAATCCTAAAAAAAGAGATATGCACACACAAAAAATAAATGATCCAATTAATAACTTAAAGACACCCAAAAATCATAGAAGCATTTATCTACCAGAACTTTACTTTCGTATACTTTGGAACGCTGAGTCGTAGAACAATAGCGTAACTTACCAAGGCCACCAAATTATACGCCCACTCGACTCGATGGTGTTAAGTTCCTCCATTTCTGCATCACTCAGCTCGAAATCAAACACCTCAAATAGCACAAACAAGAATTATAGCATTTCAGTGGGGATATGACAGCCGACTACCCTAATTATGCTTCCTTTGACTGCGACTTACATCGAAATTCGACCTTATGTGTTCAGGAGTGACGCTTTTCACAAGGACAACGATGTCTCTCTGCAAACCATGGCGTAGAAGCACTTGTGCGGGTGTTTTCTTGTGCTTGTGTGCGATTTCCACTGCCTTCTTATCCTCCACTAACGGTTTTACTTTCTCCCTAGGAAACAACGAAGGAGCGCCTAAAGAAGCCGCACTCAAAGAATAACAAACAATAGTGTTGATAAACTCGCAAACGTACCGCATAAAACCTGGCGAGCCAAGGGGTGAATAACCCTCTACCACAATATTCTTTGAGTGGCAAAACGCAATTAGCTTTTTATTAGGACAGTGGATATTGACTTCTACTTGGTTCACTGCCGGTGGAATCGTGCACGACGCCAATATGCGCTCCAACTGTCTCTTGTTGAAGTTGGACACTCCGATCGACTTGACAAGCCCAACCGTTACCAACTCCTCCATTGCCTACAAAACAGTATTAGCACCATTTTCACAAATTCACCTTCCACGTATCCTCAATTTTATGATATTCTAATTCAAATGAGTTTGGGTCGTTATGGTCAAAAGGCACGCCTTCCTTGTATTTGATAGATCCAGGAAAATGTATTAGGTAAAGATCCAAATACTGAAGGCCAAAATTTTTGATCGACTGTTCACACGCTTTGCGAACATCTTCTGGTGCATGCTTGTCACACCAAAGCTACACTCAATAATTAATAGGCTCCTACAACAAAGAAATACCTTTGAGGTGACAAAGATATCCTCACGCTTTAAATTAAGCTTTTTCATGGAAGATGCTATGCCTTCTCCAACTTCCTTCTCATTGCCGTAGATCATGGCACAATCAATGTGACGATATCCAACGTTGAGTGCTGATTCAACCGCAGCAGCCACGACATCTCGGGGTGCCTATAATTGACGCGCAATAAACTAAAGCAGGTGCCATTACCCAAAAAGTTCCGAATCCGAGTTGCGGAATCCTATAACCACTATTAAGGAGCAGATCCTGACTATGATTCATTACACACAGCAAATGAGATAGGAGCAAACTTAGCTAGCACTTAGATGCATAAAAAATTAGGTCAGGGAGTATGCATCGTTTATTCAGACAAACAAATTGGATTTAAGAATTCTCCCCTAAATTATCAGTTCAGTCTTGCACTCATTTTCCACTTTCATTTTGTCAAGCTTTATCAAGTCAGTGTGAAGCGCAGACACCAGTAAAGGAAACTGCCAAAAAGATCAAGCATTGGAATAATGCCAATGTTCAAGAACCACCGTCACTTTATAGTAAAAGAACTGTAGGGCTTTTTTATGTAATCACCTGACGTTTGACGGTAACTTTAGTAGTTGTCTCGTCCTTGTATTCATTGGCCGGCATTCGGGCCATGCTAAGGCCCATTTGCTTTGCTCTCTTCGAAATACAAGTATCCAGTTCATTTTCTGTATATTCAAATCTATGAGAAGTCTGGAGACGTTACACCGGTGTTAGCGGAAAGCAAACCCGACATTTAAAAAAAATTTCGGCAGTTGTTGCATGGCCCTACAGTGCAGGAAAGACGATTAGGCATAGGTGGCGGAGACTGTCTGAACCTCTCAATGGTCACTTACATCAACATTCGACATTTTTCGCTCTGCGCTCCCACTTTTGGGGAATTTTGTCT